AAAGGGCGAAAAGCTTAGTTTGTACAGTATATTGTGTTGCCCTATGAATAAATTTTTGTATTGCTGCAACCTGCATTGTATATCTGGTCAGACAGGTCAACAACTAAAATGGACTGGGGGTCAGTGTGGAAAGGAGGGGGGCACCAAGATGGGTCAGTGCTTAGGGCGCCAGCGAGCCTTCATCCGTCCCTGCCCACAAGGCACATTTTAGGGCAGGGGTATGAGCAACCTGCATCTGGAGAACAACACGTGGGGAAGGGTTCAACTCCCTGTTCCTCCAGTGCCATGGCCTTGATAGGGATGTGTACCTAACCCCCCCCCCCTGGCATTTTTCAAATCTGGATTTCAGGAAGGGTTACATAAGAACATAACAGAGACACCAGTGTTTGATCAGGCCAAAGGCCCATCCAGTCCAACACTCTGTATCACACAGTGGCCAGAAATACCAGGTGCCATCAGGAGGTCCACCAGTGGGGCCAGGACATTAGAAGCCCTCCCACTGTTGACCCCCCCAAGCACCAAGTTTGGGTTCCCTGATTACATTTTGTGATTTGGTTTTATTCTGGAATTATTCAGGTTCCATTTTTCACAATGGGGGACTTTGTCCAGAAGGGGCTGTCTTTCAGCTAAATGACTCCAACATCACAGGGGAACTACTGTTTCCCGTGCATTAAAGAACCCCCAAGTTTAAAAAAACTGGACCTAGCCGTCCGATTCTGCGGGCCCCTGAACAAGGTGCCCCCAGCCGTCCGACTCGTCTCCACTGTTTCCTATGGGGGGGGGGGATCCAAAGAAGCCAACAGTCAAACACACAGGAGCACCCACTGCAGAAAGAAACAAAAGTCGGGCTTTCCCTCCCCAGTGGTGACAAAAGAAAAAGAAAACAGGCACAGAAAAAGTTGAAATAATATTCTGAAACGCCAGTACTGAAGCGGTGCTACATGCAGAACTAGAAGGTCTTCCCAGGCAGGCCGCAGAAGCCCAAAGCAGACCAGAGCAACAGCAGTCAGCTTTAGCCCACTCCAAATGATCTAGCTCTGAAATGGAGTCAAGCTGCTTTTACCCTCTTTTGTCCATGCACAGAATATTCCACACGAAGCAGCAAAAACAGTGAAATAACCCCCTCCCCGTGCTCTTTGTGTGTGGGAAATGTGCCAATGGGGGGGGAGGCAGGAGACTTTCTCCCCCCCGCCCCATGGCAGTGTTCCAAGCCTGTTTCAGCCTTCCTTTATTTTTAAAAAGTCATTCCCTGCAGCTGCTGCATGGCTGTGAGAAACCTGAGTTAGGTGTGGGGAACCCGGCCCCATCAAGTCAAAAACTCTCGTGGACATTATGTGAGAATTGTCATGACTGGGCAGACAGCTCAAGTGCTCCCTCTAATGTCTGATCCTGTTGCCTGGGACACCTGAGCCCCCTCCCCCCCCATGCAATGTTCCCTCTAATTCAGGTTCCATTTTTCACAATGGGGGACTTTGTCCAGAAGGGGCTGTCTTTCAGCTAAATGACTCCAACATCACAGGGGAACTACTGTTTCCCGTGCATTAAAGAACCCCCAAGTTTAAAAAAACTGGACCTAGCCGTCCGATTCTGCGGGCCCCTGAACAAGGTGCCCCCAGCCGTCCTACCAGGGAACCCTGAGAAATGAGAGAAAAATAGTCCTGGGAGCTTTAGAACGGTGGCCCCAGATATTCCCAGACATTCCCAATATTTGTAGGATTTTTCAGGAATCGGTATTTGGTGTTCTGGAATCCTGAATACTGTTTCGGCTGACCAGAATATACTTGAAAAATACCAATACGTTATTTTTGGGGGTATATTTTTGGACTAAAAATATCCGGGTACGCATCCCTAGGCCTTGATTTGGTCAACCCTAAACCTCATTTATTCACATTTGCAAAAACTTCAAAAGACCCTTGCGCTGACCCAGCCAGCGTTTAACTGTAGCTAAGTAGAACTGCCACATATCTTTAAGAGCAGTGGCCTCTGGGAATTGGAACCTCCCACTATCTTATTGAATTTGCCTCTTGATCTACAGAATCTGACAAAAATCTAGACTCGCACAAGTACAGATCAGTCCCGTCACTTGAGCTACAAAGTCCGTGATGCCTCTCAGCCCCCACACCCTCCGCGCAGCCCCACCCTGAACCTACCTCGTGCAACGGGACGTTTACCAGCTGCATCAACTCTTTCACTGCCCCTTGGAGCTCCTGGAGCAAGAGGTTCTGGGGGGTGGTCTCCAGATCCTGCTCTGGGGGGACGGGCTCCTCCAAGCTGGCCAGGCTCTGCAGCCACTCCCACTCCTCCCTTGAACAGGAGACAAAAAGGATGAGCTGGCAGAAGAGGAAGAACATGGAAAAACCAATCTAACCCTGGTGCGGGCACACAGCCACCTTGTCCGGCCTTTTTTTTTTTTTTAAGCGCTCTCATGCCGGATACGTATAAATGTTTGAAGCAGGCCTTGGTGCTTAGATGTCAGCAGGGCACTTCACAGATCTGCACAGACGTGTTCCCAGAAATTTTGTTATAAGGAGGCCTAAAGGGTATATTGAATAGGGAGGATATCCGCACAGGACACCCAGAATCTAAATACAAGACGCCTTGTAGGTCTCCAGTCATTTAACTGAATATTTGCAAAACAATGGTTAATTTTAGTGCATGTCAGGCATCCTAGCAGTTCGAAAGCAAGAATTTGCAAGTAGATAAGTAGGGACCACTTTGGTGGGAAGGGAACAGCGTTCCGTGCACCTTGGTGTTTAGTCATGCCGGCCACATGACCACGGAAACGTCTTCGGACAGCGCTGGCTCTTCGGCTTTGAAACGGAGATGAGCACCCCAACCCTAGAGTCGGACTCGACTGGCTTTCGAGCAAGGGAACCTTTACCTTTACAGGCATCCTAGGGCTGCTGCATTCCCTGGACTGAACACTGGAAGACAGGGGTAGGTTTGCTTCTTATTGAGCAACTGCAGGATGCTGCCTGCTTTCTTCTTCCTCTTCTTCTTTCTCTACTTCTTCATCATCATCTTTTTAAAGCTGAACATTTTGGAAAGAGGCTTGGAAAGTCCAAGCTATGGCTCCCAGTGGTGAAATTATTCATTTCTGACATGAAACATAGCCTCTCTCACTTGGAATGAATTAACTTGTATAACCCTCTCCTGAGTGATAGGGATGAAGGCCTCCTTTGGATCAATATTATGCAGCATGGACTTCTCATAAGCCTCATCCTTCTGCTATGGACCCCAGAGACCAATCCACACATCCTGACATCAGAATAAGAACTTGGAAGTTACTCCAGTTTGCAGCATCTAAAGCTGCCAAGCACTATCCTGTCCTACATACAGCCTCAGTCCAACGCGTTTCTCACCTTCTCAGCTAGTTTGCCCATGGATTCTCTCTCTCCTGTGCTTCTCAACTGTGCTCTCTTTGCCGTAGCCACCCTTAAACACAGGTATCTTGAGCTCCTGGCAGTTCCACAACAGGAAGTGCGGAATTTAGGTTAATGGAGTTATCCTGATTGCCTACAAACTAAGGCCTGGTCCAAAAGCCCTACCTGGAGACGTTTGGGTTGTTCCGTATCTTCACGTGGCACAGGATGTTGGGCAACCGTTCGGGCACCAGCACTCGGATCTGGTCAACAGCACTGCAGAGCTTCAGGTAACCCAAGTAGAGACCAGGGGGGAGAGCTTGGCTACTTTTCTGGTGGTAAGCCAGCTTGTCCTGTGGACAGAAAGGGAATGTCTTTCTCTTTCTGTAAATCTTGCTGCAAAAACCTTCCCTCCCTCCCAAATTCACAACACAGCAGTGAGGCTAAGGTAACTAGAAGCTACTGTGAGGAAGACGAAACAGTGGCGGGATACAATACGGAGCCAGCCCAAGTGAACCATTGCTGTGGCTTGATTTAAACGTCTCGTGTAGCTATTTTATCTCCAGCTTCCAGGTTGAAACCAGGGCCAAAAGCCCCAGGAGACAGACTGGCACGGGGCGGGAGGCACCGGAAGCCTTACAAAGGAGGCCGTTGTTGTCAGATATCCAGACCGGTGCTGCAATCTCCAGGAACAGAGACAGCCTTGAACTGGCCCTTTAGTGGTTTGGCCTTTTGCTAATCCTGCCAAAGGCTTTGAATGAGCGGTTTCAATAGCCCCTTGTACAGGTGCTCGAGTGGCTTTTGTTGCTGGAGACACTCGGCTGAGTGAAAGGAAGTGAAAGGAGAGAGAGAAACAACCAGAGAGGTCAAAGCAAGAGAAGGAGAGGCCGGGCACTTGGGGAAGGCAGTCTTTGCCAAGACATGCTGACTGACTGGGAACGCAACTGCAACACGGGAAGAAAGAGGAGCAAAGCCCTGGAAAAGAGCGGAAAGAAGTATGACAACTGTAGAACCCTGTCAAGTGCCATGCACTGTAATAGTGCTCCGCTATAAATGTGAAACAACAAAGGGGGCGCTGCAGAGCTGTCCCACCAGAGAAAGGGCTCACCCTCAGGGCTTGGCTCTAAGAAGCTGTCCTCAACCCCAGAGCTCTGCCTTATGCATAGCAGCGACTATCATGGTGTGACTGTCTTGGACCAGGGCTCTTTTTGTAGAAAAAGCCTAGCGGGAACTCATTAGCATAATAGGCCACACCCAACAGCAGGAACTCATTAGCATATTAGGCCACACCCCCATGTTACCAGAAGTGTGATTATCCAGCCACACCCACCCTTTGCTTGTTATTCTGTTGACCTTGTTTGTTGTCAAAACCCAGGGCCTTTTTTTGTAGCAGGAACTCCTTTGCATGTTAGGCCACACACCCCTAATGTAGCCAATCCTAATGAGTTCCTGCTGTTGGGTGTGGCCTATTATGTTAATGAGTTCCTGCTGGGCGTGGCCAACTTGGGAGCCAGCCGGAACTCCGTCCCTGTGCGTTCCTGCCCAGAAATAGCCCTCGTGAGACCACTGACCTCTCAAGCCTATCTCTGACGGAGATCCCTTTTAACTAGAGAGAGAACCTGGGATCTTTTTGCACTGCACAGCTGGGGATCCTCCTCAATGAGAAAGGAGTCGATCCCAGTGTGAGCACACGGTGCCTTTCATCCCTTGAGGAGAAATGAGAATCAGCCACCTGCAGGGTCATCAGCAGCGTGTCCAGAGCGGTGGGCTCTTCGGGAGAGGAGACGGATTTGCGGCTTGTCTGTAGCTTGGAAAGGGGAACCCAGCGGACACTCTCGAAGGTCTGGTTGCTCTTCACCTCCTTCAGGGTCACAACCAAAATGTTGCCCTGCTTGTCTTTGATGGGCTCAAAAAAGACCTGTCCCAGGTCCTGGATGCCCAGCAGACCCTTCACAGAGGAGGGAAAAGAGACACACGCATGGCAATGGCAGTCTGGTTAGAAACGGCATACCCTGTAAACCCTGCCCAAGAGAGAATCCCTAAAGAGGTCTGGGGCATGCGGGCATCTAGACAGGAGCACGTCTTTGCTCTAAGGGCCACTTAGAGGGCCACCCTGAGGGCTGCCAAGTAGCTACAGATCTTCAAAGAACTATTTGTTTAGAAAAATGTATACACCGCCTTTCCAGAGACCGGCTTGAGGTGGTTTTCAATTGGCTCCTGAATGAATGCAACCATTTTGCTTCAACACGATGGCTGATTACCGTGGCCATCAGGAACAGAGCAGCCTTCTTGCAACTCCATGCTGCACATTAACACAAGCACGCGTTTCGGGTGGTTTGTGGAGGTTGCACGCTGTTTAACTGCAGGTGAAAGGGGCGGCACGTGACGAAGGAGGGATCCTACAGCACGGCCATTCGAAAGGGGCCACCAGAATTCACAACGTCCACCAGTGCCGAACATCCTTTTACAAGGGAAGTGCTGTGCCTTGTATACACGCTCTCCCCTCCCCTCTGGGATCTGTAGCACCTTCGCTCAATGACGGATCCTTTCTGAGCATAAAAGGAGTCTGTTTCAGAAGGCGGCTGATTTTCCTGAGTAGCTGTTGTGCTTCATACATTTGCAACTGAAGCTTTAATTAATTGCACAGGTTAATCAAAGTAAAGTTTGCCAGCCCTGCTACTGGAAACATCAGGTATTCGGGGGGAGGGAGGATCGTGTATACGATCTAATGTAAAATATAGACAAAAAAAACTACTCTGCTCTGAAGATATATACCAAAAGGCAGATAACAGAGTGATCAGATAATGTACTGTAGGCTGGAAAAAAGCAACAAAGGAACGAGCCCCTAGCCAAGTCCACATCTGGGAAATCTCATCCTCTCATACTTCAGCTATCAATCACTATTATTCCAACGGCTTCTTTTTAATAAATACCTCCTCTTATGTTTTCAGTCCCACTGAGCAGCCCAAACTACTCAGTGGATGGCGAGTAACTGGCTGTCCATGCAGTTGCAGCCCCACGTCCAACTATCTTTATGCCCTCCATTGGCTACGTCTGTAGATTCAGGGCAAGCTCCTAACCGGATCCACAAGTGACTTCTGTATGTGACCGGCAACAACTTGGGAACATTTGCCCGTCTTCGGTGGGCTGCTCAGGTTCCTGGAAGAGGCTGGCCCTCCCTTGACGATGACACATTTCCATCAGTGCAGCCAGTAGTCAGAGAAGGTCCCTCAACTGCACAACAGAGGCAACTCGTTCCACAGAAGCGTTTCCCTTACCTGCATCTGTGAGATGGCCAGCAGCATCTTGAAGCGTGTTTGAAGAATGCAGGAGCAGGAGGACTGGGAGACGGTGACGCACTGACGCAGCCAGAGGATTTCATCCCACATGCAAGACACCTGCACAGCAATTGTGCCCGTTAGGTCAGTCTAGGACTCCGATGACTCTCTAGCCCAGCCAAGTAACCTGAATTGCAGCATCTTTTGAAACAAGGAGAGCAAATGCTTTGCACCCTTGTTGGCATCTCATCCTTTTTGGCAAGTGTGCCCCTAAAAAGGCTTTGCCAGGAGTTCCTACAGAGGCTCGCTCACTCTCTGAATTTCAGGTTTTTTGACAACTCTGAGATTTTTTCACACCAAAGGAGGAGCTTACACTCCTTATGCTTTGAAGGTTCTTTGGGGTAAGACAATACAAACTGGCACTTCTAGGCTTCTCTAGTACTGCCCTTTTACACCTTGGATTTTAAGGAGCCAAAGCTGTTGTCAAACAAAGATTATGGGACACTTCTCTCCAAATGGACCGAGCACGAGCCTCACACTTTTAGTGGTGAGAAATAAAAACCTAGTTTGCTCCATCCAGTTACCTTTATTAGTTAGAACTTTCAAAGCACTGCAGAACTTTCGCTTTAGTACGATTAAATGTTCTCCCACCTGCCCTCCTGCAAGGGAGGTATGCTCAAGGGCTCTTTTTGTAGCAGGTACTCCTTTGCATATTAAGCGACACACCCATAATGTAGCCAATCCTCCAAGAGCTTACAGTAGCTCCTGTAAGAAGAGCTCTGTAAGCTCTTGGAGGATTGGCTACACTAGGGGGTGTGGCCTAATATGCAAATGAGCTCCTGATACAAAAAGAGCCCCCACACGCAAGCCGACTTTGTCCTTGTAATTCTGGACAGGTCGAGACAACTGAGCACGTTCTTTTATCTTGTCGATTTTATCACGAGATTCGTTCTAAACGTATTATGCCAATAATCGTCGCCTACCGAGGCAGGTCTAATCAGTTTTATTCTACTCTTCTTTTAGCTGATATCTGTAACAAAACTACTGATAAGGTAGCAAGATTTTGTGCTATGGCTATCCTAATCAGACAGAAGACTATTACTTCTTAGGAAATTTTAAAATCCACGTTGTTTTAACTAATTTTTTTACCTGTACCAACTGTTTGGCTGTATTTCGCAGTTAACTACATGTAACATTTTAAGGTATTTGCTGATCTTTGATCGTAATAAATCAAATTGAACTGAACTGACAACAAGGTAGCGAATTAATCTGATGTAACTTCAAGAGTAGATGATTCACTGGGCTACAAGGACAGATATATTTATATTTAAATTGAGAGACTGCTTTCCCACTGAGAGACGTTAAAAAGTGTTGTGTGTGTGTTGGCGAAAAAAGGAAATTTGATGCTAGAGTTTATCAGGAAAAGGTCTGCAAACAGAACTTCTGGGATCATAATGCCTTTATAGAAATCTATGGCGTGGACATGTTAGAAGCATTGTGTACAGTTGCTCCATCTTTTAAAGACTATGTCAGAGCTGAAAAGAATGTAGAAAAGGACAACCAAAATGATCAATAGGTTGGAGTGCCTTCCCTAGGCAGAAAGGCAAAATCAGCTTTAATTCAGTGAAAAAGAAAACGTAGATGGGGCGGAATGTGCAATAAGAGGTTATAAAACGATGCCTGGTGTGGTGAAGGTAGGTACAGAGAGCTTTCCCTCCCTCTCCCATAATACGAGGACTCAGAATCACCCAGTGATATCAATTGGCAATAGATTCAAGACAGGTGAAAGGAAGTACTTATTCACACAATGTCTAATTCACTAAGGGAATCCCACCAGTTCACAAGGTATAGTGATGGCCAATGGCTTTAGATGTCTTTAAAGGAAAATGAGACACATTCATGGAGGATAGACTGGCCAAGGTAAATACATAAGAACATAAGAGACGCCAATGTTGGATCAGGCCAAAGGCCCATCCAGCCCAACACTCTGCATCACACAGTGGACAGAAATACCAGTGCCATCAGGAGGTCCAGGGCTCATTTCGTAGAAAAAGAGGTGCAGGAGCTCATTAGCATATCTCCTTAGCATAACTCATTTGTATATGCCACGCCCCCTGACATCACTGGAAGTGTGTCAGAAGGCAACACCTACAGCTCAGGCTCCACTGGACTGTTTTGGATTGCCAGCTATTGGGGGGGGGGGGACACGTGCAGATCTGTCCTCGCAGAGGGGGGGGAGCTTGTACCTGAATGAAACTTGCCCTTTAAAGGTGCCACTGGACTGTTTTGGACCGGGGAGGCCGGGG